AAGCGGGAAAGGGAAAGGTTGAGAAAGAAGGAAAGGAAAAGACAGAGAGGAGGCGAGAGGTAGAAGGAGGAGGGGGAAAGAGAGATAAAGGAGAGAAGTACCTCTTAATACTCTCATTCCGTGGAATTCCGAGGGTAATGATAATAATAATAATAATAATAATAATAATAATGATAATAATAATAATAATAGTAATAATAATAATAATGATAATAATAATAATGATAATAATAATAATGATAATAATAATGATGATAATAATAATAATAATAATAATAATAATAATAATAATGATAATAGTAACAATAATAATAGTAATAACGATAATGATAAAAAATCATAATGATAATAATAGTAATAATAATAATAATAATAATAATGATAATAATACTAATAATAATGATAATGACAATAATAACAATGATAATAATATGTAGAGCAATGATAATGACAATAATAATAAAAAATAATTACAAGTAAATGTTACTTACAAACGAAGTGAAACATCAAAAAAAGAAATGTCATAAGGGTGATACGTGTGATTCCTGTGTCGTGTTGGCCGTTCGCAGTTCTAACACCAAGCAAGGAACAAATGGCGCTTGTGTTTCTTCATACTATAAAGCTCGTGCAGTAGGAAGACAATGCTCAAATCACTGTCACTTTCGAGCAATCGTCATCTTATGCTGTAAATGGCGGTTCTCAAAATCTGTTAGTTAATTAAATCTTACCTGAATATTACAAATACAGTATAGATTCTTGGAGCGCCAAGTTACCTACGAAAATTAGTACTACGGACAACTTTACAAGATATTTAATAACACTTGGAACCCTTGGCTGTACAGTAATAAACGCATTAGAGGAAGAACTCGATCTGGGTTTCTGTTCATCCCTATCAATACATATATCATATATTTTCTTATCACACATCACGTGGCATTAAGCTTCCTGAGCTGCTTGGCGATATCCTTGGCATCCCGACGGTATTCTGTTATCGTATGTAGTAGATAACCTAGTGCTGTGTCTAATTTCCGTAGTTAGATTTAAAGCAGGGAACTGTTGTGTTGTATTTGCATAGTTTTAACAAGAAAGCCAGACAAACGTGTATATTTTGTTCGTGTGTATTTTGCATGCGAGGTTGGAATGCATGTTATGGACGATTGATTGGTAGCTGAAGACCTTTGTGGGGCAAGTTTGTGATCCATAAAGGTGGTAAGACTGAGGTGAAAACGAGTAAGATAAACACTAGTTGTTTGCTTATTGATTACTGGGTTGTTTAATAAGCCGATTATGATATAACGGAAACGGAACCCGACTATCAGATTCCATTACCGACAAAAAACATGATACAGCGGTTAACTCCCTAACCACATACTCCTGGGAAAGTACCAGTAAAAGCAGCACCTGCACCGAACGGTTTCAAACAATAAACAATGGCTCACCGAGCTAACGAGGGATTCAGCGTTCTGTTTCTCACTAAAGGAATTGATGTTTGCGTTTGAGAGCTTGGAAGGTGTTGCATCTTTAATAAATTTATATATTACAAATAACATAAACAAAGTGCTAAAGCAGTACACAGCTCCACGGTTGCGAATCTAGACTTGGTCGCACATTGGTTTACCAGGAAATGCGGCTCCACATCAAGCATGATACACTCGGGTTGTCTGAATCCGCGGTTCCACGCGCTTCACCCGAGTCTTGAACCAGAACCGTCTGACCAGTCTAAAATATTCTTTGCTTCGATCCTTCTATTCTGGCAGGCAACAAGGTTCTATTTTCTATGATAGTTCTTAGAAATCTGTTACATATCATTATGGTGTTATTGGATATCAATAATAGTGTTCAGCTATCAATGTTAGATATTATTGTGCATTTGTCGAAGTAAAATTTTAAGTGCAGTTCTTAAAGCTAGCACGGGAATGGCTGGGTGGCCGGGGGAACCAGCACTAAACCTAAGTATCAGAACGCAGGCTTAAGATGTTGAAAGCAAGTGAGTACTCCCTTTTCCATATCTCGGCGTCATCTTCATCTGCCTCTTCATCGCCCACTCAGTTGGGAAGTGGATCATATCCTATTTCTTTACCACATTCTAGAAACAGAGTCACTTGTGGCCAGTTTAATCACCTTAATACAAACACACAACTCATCCTCATTTTTAGAATATCATATGGAAAGACAAAATATGGCCTTATATATGCGCTTAGCAACCACCACTTAATGAAGACTGCCCCTTTTCCTATCCCCCAGAAAACAAACAGCTTTGTGTTGATAGTGTCCTCTAGTGTGGTCTGCCCCGACACTGAGATTAATCTTAGCTTTACCTTCGTGAGTCCACGATTGGTAGTAGATGTCATTGTAAATAATGAGTGAAAAAACACAAAACAACCGGGCGGACAGAACCTACGTCAGGGAACCCAATAGGAATGTTATCAGTTTAGGTGAGGAAGCTGTCGTGCGTTTGTACACTGTTAAAATTCCGCTGAATGACAACATCTATGAAGCG